GAGTTGGGCCCAGAATTGAATTCTGGCAGTGGTGCCCTACAGGTAAATAGATGATATCTAGTTTTGTAACAGTGGTTAAGTCCAAGTATAGCAAATCTTATGATCTTTACTAGAGAGAATTCTTATTTGCATAGTACTGTTATATTTTATAGCAGTAAGCTCTGTGTTTGTGTTTTCCTGGGATCAGGGAGGGTTTATTTCAGAGATTTGATATCTTAGAAAAGCTTTATCTTAATTTTAGCCTCTGTTTTTACCTTCATAGTCAATGTGATCAGGATGTTATTTGCTGGCTAATAACCTCAGATTAAGTAACATAGGAAATGACTTAAAAGCCCAGCTACAAATTATTTTTTAAAGTGATATTGAGTACAAAATTGGAATTAATCTTCAGTGTACAGAAATGCATAATAATAGGTCATAGAATGAGATTACAGGTTGGGATAAGCTATTTAGAAATAGTACCCCCCAAAACCACTGATTAATTGCCATTTTATATTCCAAAGACCAAGCTCTGTTAGCCTTACCATGTAATGAAATGTCTAATCTGATTTTGACAAAATGATTCACTTTTAGGTGATATATTTCTTTGGGTTGAAAAGACTAACTGAATTCTCATCTTATTTTCCATATCCACCAGGAAGCTGTTATCCCAGGCCCACCATTTTTATTTGGAGCATGTATAGTTCTTATATCTTTTCTGGTTGCCTTATTTATCCCTGAATACCGTAAAGCCAGTGGAGCTCAAAAACAAAGCAACAGCATCAGTGGTAGCCTGACTAACACCCCGGAACGGGTCAGTGATGAGGATATTGAACCACTGCTTCAAGACAATAGCATCTGGGAGCTTTCCTCCTTTGAGGAGCCTGGGAGTCAGAGTACTGAGCTGTAACTTGAAGAAAAGGAGTTCTGCAGATGTCAACTCTTAAAGCCTTCAGGGGAGCCACACCACATGGAAACTTTATGGTGCTGGAGGGGTGAAACTAGCAGCACACTTGGGCCAGGTTGATAAGTGATTTCTTCATCGTTTCTCTCCACCCCACCCCCATCTCTCCCTCTTCCTGTTCTTTTCTCTTCTTTTTCTGTTTGTACATTAGGACAAGGTAAGGTTTGAAATACTTATCCATAAATAGTGTACAAGTCTCAAGATTATCTGGAATCCAGACTTTGAAACTCAAATAGAAAAGGCCATATCCTTCAGAAAAAAATGGCTTTCTGCTGGGCAAGCTGGAACATGCCTGGAATCCCAGCACTGAAGAATCTGAGGCAAGAGGAGCACGCATTCAAGGCTGACCTGGACTACGGAGCAAGTTCAAGGCCATTCTGGACTACACAGTGTGGCCTTGTCTCAGGAAAAAAAAGACTTTCTTTTAATAAGTGGAGTAACATAAACAGCAATCTTTCTACATCCTTTTCTCTAGGAAGTGTAGGATTGTTGTAGAAGTGCCATCTTGCGTAAGATTTCAGGTAAATATTTCCCTTTTTCCTTCCCTCATCCTCCTGGATGATGCCCTGTTAGCCCACAGGTATTGATGAGTGGCCACTCTTAAAGAGTTAGCACTCAGTATCAGGGATCCATTGCCTTTATCCAAAGGTCAAACACAAAAACTATAGTTTTACTCTCCCTTTGTTTTTTTTTTTTTCTATTTTCTATGCTTGTCTTGAATAAATAATAATATTGATTGGTGAACCCTTTTAGCAGATGAAGGAAATTTTTCTTACAAATTCAAATCATGTTGAAGTAGGAAATCAGATTCGTGGACTTTGTGTCCTGGTCAGCTCTGCAGTGATTTTACAGAGCAGAGCAAAATTTCATCTAGCTGGGTGTGGTGGTGCATACCTGTAATCCCAGCTAACTGGGAGGCTGAGGCACGATTATTGTGAGTTCATAA